GGGAATTGCTTTTTTCCTACTACAATGAGAGGAAAGTAGCCTTCAATAAACTATCTGCCAAACAACTAGATTACATTGGAAATACGAAACCAGAGAACATTGGTCTGTCTTCTAGAAATACAAATACAGATAAACATTTAGATAAATGCTGCAGTTTGTCTTCTATTTGATGTTACAATCTGGGGATACAGGGATAAGGCAATCATAATACCCATTGAGGTTTGGACAATACAAGATTCAAGAGAATACATCTAAATCTGCTATTACAAAACAAGGTCATACATTGAGGTACATTAAATATAATGGAGACAAATAGCAGGCCAGGAGAACACATAGCTTCCATATGGGACCATACTTGAGGTTTCTCACATCTCAGAAACTAATCAGATGCCAAGAACGGGGCTTGCTTTCTCGCATGCTCTGGGATTAATTTCATCAAAATCTCCACAGGCACCCCCTTTAATTCTGATTGATAGACCAAGAGTAAGAACTTTGATACAAAGCTTAGCGGAAAAAAAAAAAGAAAAAAAAGAAATTGTCTCTCAGAACAGCATCATACCATGAGATTTAAAGTTAAATAAAGGTGGAAGGAAACGTCCATTCGGCAGGCGGGTGTTCAGGTCACGAAGCTCATCAAAAAAGGGGTGGGTCAAGGCATCCAGCTGTGTTAGAAACAGAAACAATGGTTGAAAAATTAACAAAATGAAGATAATGGGAATAAAAAAAATTAACTGAATTTTCTATTACTAACACATAATGAAATTTTCTTAATGGAGTTTTGTAAAAAGAAAAAAGGGGGAAAATTGGAAAGAATGAACAATGTGGACATTAAAAAAACTCCTGTACTCACAGCTGTGCACCGCAAGTTAGGAGAGTATTGCAGCAGTCTTGAAACCAGATCAACAGCTTCTGGAGGCATACGCTTGTGGAATATCTAAGGAAATAACAGATATCAATATGCTGTCTGGTTTAAGAAATATAAAATAATACATTAATATCTTCCTTCATAATACCTTGTGCCACGGGTGAGCTTTGATTTGAGGGAACTTGAACTCTGTATAGTTAGGATTCATGCATTTGATTTCCTCCCTTGTTGGAGTGCCCAAAACCTACCAAGAGAAAACGCAAGAAGTGAATCACCACACGATAAAAGATTGAAGTTCAAGATGCCATATTTTCACCAAGTACAGAGAGTAATGCATGTCCAATGCAAGCATCTAAACAATCCTTTTATCCCTATTCATTGATATCTAAGATTAAATATGAAACTTATACTGAACTGATAAAGATGTTAAAATTACCTTGATAATCTCCACAAGCTGGTCAACTCCACTCTCACCGGGAAACAGAGGCTGATGCAATAGAAAATTCCTTTCTATTAGAATTGTACAAAACATATATTTCAGAAAATGCAATAGAGCAAAGCATGTACCTGTCCAAGCAATAGCTCAGCAAGAACACATCCAACAGACCAGACATCAATAGCTGTAGTATACTCAGTTGCTCCAAATATGAGTTCTGGTGCTCTATAGTATCTAGAGCAGATATAAGATATATTTGGCTCTCCTTTTACCTGTTCAATAATAATACAGTATAAGAATATACGCCAATGAAGCAAAGGCCAATATGAGTATAATTGGAAGAAAAGGACAACAAGCATACCAAAACTTTTGCGCTTCCAAAGTCACACAATTTTACTTGGTGGGTATGCGGATTCACCTGCAAAAAATATGAACCAAATTTCAAACCTTTGCTGTTTTATTTACTCCATAACCACTCCCATCCCTCCACACACACACACAGAGGAAGGCAGTGCTGCACACAACTATATGGTTAACTACATATTAATAGGCATATAGGGATAAGAGAATCAAAGTACATACCAGAAGATTTTGAGGCTTAATGTCCCGATGGCACACTCCAATGCAGCGGTGAATGTAGGATAATGCCCTAAAGATCTGCCAAATATGGATGAAATGAGGCAAATCTCAGCTAACCAACACATAAACACTCAAGGGCAGGGAACAAACAACATGCTTTGAGGCACAATTCTAAGACTCAATTAGCCTAAGCCTTGGACTCATGGAGTAAGACCTTAGTCTAACAGTTGAATTCTTAATCTATATTTAAAGTATACAGCATACTGCTCAATTGATGTAAAATTGTCTTCTAAAAGGGAAAAAGTGTTGAAACAAAGAAAACACCACCGTATTCTTCAAATGCAACTTACACAAAGGAAAAAAGAAAAGGCACACATGAAATTCTTTCATTGACATCATACCTGGTATGTGTAGAGTTTAACATATATCAGAGGCATCCGTTGGTTCAACTTGTTATAGTGTTTAATTACACGATGAACCGTTTCAGGAACATACTCAAGTACCAGGTTAAGATAAAGTTCATCCTTTTCCGTCGTTGAAAAGAAGCAATGCTTCAAAGAAACAACATTTGGGTGGTCAAGAAGACGCATGGTTTGCAGCTCACGGTTCTTGTACCTCTTGTCTTGCAGAACCTTCTTTATGGCCACAGTTTCACCAGTCTCTAAGCACTTTGCCTGTACACATAAAAAATTAGAATTCAACAACAGGAAAACTGCTACTGATTTGAAAGGCCGTACATTTTCAACAGTGAATTGTAAAGCAAAAGACTATAATCTTACTTGGAACACAACTCCAAATGATCCATGCCCGACAACACGCTCAGCCATGTAACTAATTGTCTAATATTACAAAAGATACAACACTCCGTTAGAGTTGCAATTAAATAAACTGGGGAAAGAAAATATCAGTGTCTACATCAACTGGAGACTAATGTGCACAGGAGAAACAATATACCTGCTTTGGCTGGCCATTTCTACCACCAATAGTTGTCACGATTATATGGCCAGTCTCTGTTCCGTTACCATCAACGACTGTGGCTTCCATTTCCTGCATCAGTGAGGCAGACCATGACTATTCAATAGCAGACACTTAATAATCCAAAAACTAAAAAATAAACTGCAAGGAGAAAAAACTATGATAAACACATAACCAATGGCTTACATACTTTGTCATCCCTAATTTTCATGTCATTCAACTCCTCTGGCAACTTATCCACACCAACAGCATGACCACTGGGTTCTCTCAGACCTGAAGTAGGTGCTACACCCACTGAAGCCATTCGTTGCAAACCTTTTCTGCTCTCTTTATTGTTTTTCCCTGATTAAACCAACCATCAACCTACTGCAATCAATTAAGCAGTGATAATTAAAATTGCGACTATGAAACTGCAATATGTACAATCTGAGTAGCACTTCTTTACCCATTATCCACAATCCATACTAAGAGCTACGTAAAGTTTTATGAAATATAGAAAATAGGAAATTTGTAGCCGATCAACTCAGCTTAGCTGAAAATTAAACTCATATTTACCAGAAAATAGATAAATACAGGAAGAAATCAAAATTTGTAAACCAAAGGCCACAACGGGAATTTTATGTACAGCACAAAAAAGAACAATAAATGAATCCCACAAATGAGATGAAGCAAATAAAAGGCAAGTCTTTGACCTTCTATACATACCCATAAACATATTAACATGAAACCCGAGATCCAACAATTAAAGCCAAACAATACAACCCAAAATTCACACAAGAATAACCAATGAACTACCTAAATATCCAGTCATAATCATTCTCTCCCTACCCCACACACACACACACACACACAAACATTTATTTATAAATAATAATAAAAATAGAGAAAAGGGGAGTTCAGACACTTAATCCTGAATACCAAAACAAGCCGATCCAAATACCCAAAACGAAACCAACAAAAACCACCAAATATATCACAGAAAAAACCCAAAAAAGGAAAGAAGAAAAAAGGAGCTTTATAGGAGAAGATACTCAGAGGAAAAAATTGTACCGATTAAGCAATAATTGGCGAAGCTCAAGGCGGGATCATCTGAAAAGCTAAGCCCGTCTTGTAGAATCAGAGGCGCAGATCCATGATCAGAGAGGATCTAGGTCTGTTTCCTCTTTTGGATTTGTGTGTTTGTGTGTTTTGTTTATTTTTGCTTTTTTTGTGTGGTGGTGCTGTGATGCGCTGGGGACAGTCAAAGAAGGACCCTTTCTTATTGGCTCAATATTTTTGAAGTTATTAATAATTTATTTAAATTAAATATTAATACAGTTTTTAAAATAAGAAATATAAAATCTTATAAATAAGAAGCCTGTGCCTTGCTTTTTTGACCATTCAAACTTTCTTTTAAATTTCCTCTTTTTTTAATTTTTTTTTAATACATAAGATAAATAATTGAACACAAGACTTCAACTATAAGGATAAATACTCGTAACTACTTCATACAAAAATATTAAAAAGCTCTTCAACTCTCTCTTATTTTATTTTTTTTATACTATTGATAGTTTAAATTAATATAATCTATCAAAAGAAACTCCAACTCAAATATAAGAGAACGAACTCAATGCCCTGGCTAACTGAACTCACACACAATTTTAAAAAGACAGGAAAGTAACAAATTGTAAAAGCTATTGATTTTGGCACCTTTTGCATAAGGGCACCCACATTTTCACAAGCTGGTTTTGCTTCACATTAATCAATTACTTTTTGTTCTATAAAAAAAAAATTATATATATTACTTTTTGGCATAACAGAAAGAAATAAAACATAAAAGGTCCAAATCCCAGAAAAATTCTACCCTATTTTTTATCAGACAGACCTAACGCCGGATAACGTCTTTTTTGGGTGGGCATATCTGTCTTTCTGTGGAGGGTGCCCTTGTTGTCAACGAGGAGCGCCCAGAGTGAAAATCCAACATGCGAATATGCCACAACACCTTTTGCCGCTAAAAGAAGAGGCCTAACCTTAAGCAGATCTCATGAATTGATAACCACTCATAATAACAACCAAAATTTCCAACTTTCAGACCAACAACGTGTCTGAATCTGAAACAAAGACATTAATTGGATGCCTAATAGTCAAACTTAATGAACAAATCAAGACTAACAAGATTGTGGCTAGCACAAAGTCGTGCTGTCATATTAACTCCTTATCCTAATCCATCAACAATTTGACCCACAATAATGACACATTTAAATAATTCAGTATGTAAAAATCTCTCAGTTTTATACATTTTTGTTCCTTTGAATATTCAGAAAACATGTACAAAGCTTCAGACTTCCAAGTCTTTCTTTTGGCTGCAAGAGACATGTACAAAGCTCTAGACTTCAAGTCTTTCTTCTGGCTGCAAGTGTAGAGACGGCTTCAGGCCTCGTATATGGCATGTAGGCTGACACCGTTTGAAGTCAACGTTCCTTGGCATTAGGCACCACTCTGAGCTGAGAATTGGGGTGCTCGGCCAAGGGGTATTATGAGATCCTTCATAAGCTCGTACTGTTCTGCACTTATCTGGGTGTTCTCCAGCACCTATTTAGCCAACACCAAAATTGCAAGTACAGCTTAAGGTTTTTGTTTAAAAAGCCCCTGACTATCCAGTATATAAAATTCAAAATCCGAAATTTAGTATGTTAATTACTGAACAACATGATCATCAGCATTAACATCATTATTAATTTATCATTAGTCTATGCATCCTTACATTTAGCCGATAAGAAAATCTAAGACAGCTTACCTCCATCTAATTCTCATTGTAAACAAATAAGTTAATGAGAAAGAAAAGAGTGTTCAGCCTCACCTTGTAAAACAGCATCCTTCTATTTGTCATGTGAGGTGTGAGTGCAGGGATCCTACAAACAGAGAGACCCTCGAGGAAAAGAAGAACAATCACTTGCCACTGTTTCATTCTGAATGCTGGTATCGCATCAATAAAGGACATTGTATTTAACATGCGGCCCTGTACAGAAACCTCTCAGTGACAGCTTCCAAACAATAAATAATTCAATTAAATAGGTTCATAACAGAATCATGATACTAAACAATGAATTATGTTTATACAAAATTAAATACAAGTTATCATAATCATGTCACACTGAAATCACAGGTGTGAAAACAACCAACATAGCAATCATTATGCACATGTCAATGCGTTATGATAACCCTGGTTTATCTCACATCAAGAGCCACCATAAATAAGGGAAAGCATGATACTAACATATATTTTCAATTGCGGGTTATAAAAAGGATGCTACTAGAATTCTATACAGCAGATCAGCATCTTTTATATTTGACTAGAAGGGACAAACTAATGAAAGTCCGTTCATATGACATTTCATCACAATTTAAACAAAACACAAAAAGATTCAAAATCAATACCATTCCTTGCTCTAAACTAGATATTGGTGTTGGAAGCCTGAGTTCAGAAACAACTCCTGGTAGAGCCCGAGCAAAAGATTCGTCCAGAGTTTTCTTGATTTCAGAAGAGCGACCACCAGCCAAGACAATCTTAGGAGGATATTCTCTCCCATTAACTGAGAGAAATTCTTCATGAAAACTTTCATCCCTCCCGTATATATACGCTAATGTAGAAGATGTTATCCATGTAAAGAGTGAATTCCACATTGTTGCAAAAGGTGATAACTGAAATATATGAAAGGTTGCATATTATCAGAGAAATAGCCTGACAATGATATTAAATCAACCCACCCCCCTCTAGAAGTAAAAAGAAATGCACTCTTACGGTTAAGCTGAAACCCTCTGGTGGAGCATCAAACCATGAATCCTCAGGGTCAAACAAATCCGAACATGGAATTCCAGGCTTTGTTGGCCACAGAGGAGCTTGTTCTGGTTCAAGCATATCAACATCCTCAGTAGGCTCCTCTTCATCCAAACCATCTGGACGTGGCAATATAATAATTCCAGCTCCTGAAACTGATATTTGAAAGGACACATAGAAAGAAACACTATTACATATCAAATTCAACAAGTGTAATTTATTACCTATTATACACTTAAACCATACAATGACATACCAGCACCACTGACATCAGATTCTCCAGATGCAACAGCTTCTGCTGCCTGGCTCAATGCCATGGCACAGGCTTCTGCTGATTCCAAAATCTCATTTTCTTGCAAGTTCAAACTCCCTAAAACATCAGCATCTTGCACTTCTCTCACCTCGCAAATATTTTTACTCTTCGTGCTATCAATCTTCTCATCAAACCAGGTATTAGAGCAACCAACTTTATTTTCCACTGAAGGTTTGTGCATACTGCTAAATGCATCAGAGTATTCCATTATCTGTTCCATCTCTCTCACCTCACAAAGGTTTCTGCTCCCAGTGCTATCAATCGTCTCGTCAGCCCAAGTAACAGAACGATTAAGTTTCTTTGTCCCTGAAGGTTTAAGAGAGGATCTTAGCAAGGCCTCACTTGATTGCTCAGCCTTCTCAACAATGAACTCCTCTTTTTCTTCTTTAGTGCTTCCATTCAAAACAGTTTGTGAAGCATCTGAGGTCGAAGGCACCTCTCGATTGCAAACATCATCTTTCTTGACATTCTTATTTTTCCCCCTTTTTGATTGTCTGGATTTCTTTACAGAATCATTCTTGTTAAGACCAACTTTTCCTTTTGATTCTTTAAACTTGGTTTCAAAATCAGGCTTCCCTTCACTTGGCGGGATTTTTGACACACTATATTCATCACTAGTGATTATAGTACTCATGAAATCCATCTCATTAAAAATTATATCCATCCCACTGCTCATCTTCGCATCTTTACCTTTGGACCCTACAATATAACATTCCTGAATCACTTTAACAACATTAACAGAAAACAACAACCACGAAACAGTCGAATTCTAGCAACCTAAGCAAGCACTAGATTAGACTCTTCAACATACATACAATTCAATATGATGAAATTCACAAAAACAACAGACCCCGTATAGAGATTTCAAGCCCACATACCTTCTTTGTTCCTTTTGGAACCCAATGGCTTGGATGTCCTCTCTTTCTGTGGAACATAGCCTTCAATAGCATTAGATGGACCAACGGCGCCCAAATCCCCTATATGTGTTTCACTCTTTTCTTCAATCTTCAACCTAGAAATCCCCAAGTCCCCAATACCCGTTTTAACCTTCTCTTCAATCTTCAACTTAGAAATCCCCAAATCCCCAATCTCCCCGAAACCCACTTCACCTTTATCAAAACCTACATCCCCAAAAGCCCTCAAGATCCTTTCAACCTTTCCAAAATCCAAGACATCGCACCTCTCCTCGCTCAAACTCTGAGCAAAAGCCTTGCTTTCGATAACACAGCGTGAGGAGCAATACATGTAGGTCTCGTGGAGGTCGTAGACCTTGTGCTCCTTGAGCGAAATGCGATAGTGACCCTTGCGGGGACGAGAACATTCGGAAGGCAAGGCATTGGAGCAGAGAGGGTAGCCACAGAGGTTGGCTATGGTGCGCTCTGTGACGACGTCATTGTAGTCGGAGCGAGAGATAATAGAGCCAGCCAAGTAAAGGTGGTCTTGGGTCTTGATGCCTTCGAGGAGAGCGAGTTGTAGCTTGTACACTGTGTCTTTCACTGAAATCCGTGGTTGCTGTTGCTCTGGTTGGCCCTTTCCCATTCCACAGAGAAAGGGGCTTGCAGACAGTAATTAGGGTTTTCAGAGATTTGGGTTTAAGGTTTTGGAACTCTGAGGAATTTGAAGCTCTCTCCCACTCTCGTTTAGCTATTATTGTTCGAGTCCGCGATTTTTATACTGTTTGGTCAAACCAGGAGTGGTCAAACCGCGGGCATTATTTGGATAAAAAATTAAAAATTTTCCAAACCTCTTTTTTATCATGGTAAATTTATAGAAACATTTTCATAAATTATAAGTTTTGTTCTCCTACATAGTACATTTAATTATTTTATTGATGGTGTGTGGCTGGAATTCTAACATTATTAGGCCCAATTGGCCAGGATGGGGACTCAATTTTTTGGAAAGGCTATAATGAGGACTTAAAGTGAGGAGGTTATTTGAGGAGGTCAAATCCCACCATCAACAAATGTAAAGAAATCATGGGACTTAAATATTTTAAATGTTTTGACGGTCGGATCAGTCTCCTCAAATAACCTCCTCACTTTAACTCCTCATTGTAGAAGCTCCCCTCAATTTTTGTCCAATTGGCCAGGACAATGAATTCATCTATTTGTCCCAAATTCGAACTTGTATATAAAACCTCTTGCAAAAATATCAAAACCTCCCTTATTTTTCCTCTCTACTTTCTTTTCCCTACTTCTTGCGAAAGACAACTTCGGCATCCGAAGCTTTGATATTCTTGCAGGAGAATGGTGCATAATAGACCAACGGGTTAGTTGAATTGACTCAAGTTTTTGCTGTGCTTCTAAGTGATCGTAGGTTTAAACCCGCATAATACAAGATGTGTGAAGTTTTTCCCATCCCCTTTCAAACTGTGGCCTAATAAAGAAGATATACATAATAGAAAATAATTAGGTTGGAATTAAATCTTTTATTAAGTCTAGCCATTTTATGATATATACAAATCTATAGGTTAGAGTTTCAGGGTACAAACTATAAATTTAACGATCCTTTCTTTGGGGAGGAAACAAAAGGAAAAATATGATATTATCAATATTTTCATTTGAAGCATGAACATTCTTGAAATGGTGGTTTGGGATAAATTTTTATCATATAATGTAGAAAATTTTGTGGATAGAAAAAGAGAAATAACCTTTTAAGTATTACGATTAAAATGTTAAATATATCAACAAAATCCAACATCTGACCAGGAAAATAAAATTAAAAAAATAAAATAATCCAACATGTTTTGTAAGCATGGTGCACTTATCACACCACCTCTGTCCTCTGGCTAAACAATCACAAGATTGGAGGGGGAAAAATATGGAATTATAACAACGCAGGGAAATTGCTAACAAAGTAAAGAAAATGATATCACATACAAAAATTTAATGTGTGTTTCTTCCCAACATGAAGACGGCAAGATAAAGATTATATGACTACTAAAGTACATCTCTTTTGATGATTGCATCCTGCGATGAAGTAACGAATTGTCCAAAAATCTTGCATAGTAACCACCCATTTCTTCAACCCAACCAGCCTCTCACTCTAGGGCAGGGGATGATCCCATGGGTAAATTCAAATTATTCACCATATTGAACAAAGGCTCCACTACTTTACAGATGAGGCATGCAATTAGCTTAATAAATATCCTGCAACATCGAAATCACTTTCGTTTAGCAGTTCAGATAATTTTCTTCGAACCTCCAATCATCAAATAATTACAAAAATTTAACGGGAGAACATTACCTCTATACTATGGATTTTGCTGGACTTGTCGATGTACTTGAATTATCCAATCAACATAACCATTGGTTCCCCCCATCTGGTCCTCAACCAGATTGGCAAGTACAAGATGACCTTCTCGGGGCTGCTCACCTTGTCTTACAAGATGGCACAGCTGATAATAAGAAGCATCACTTTCTCTAAATTTCTTAAGTATCCTCATTAACTTCTTCGACATTTCATTATCGCGCTCACATAGGGTAACCTGATCGCAGCCAAAAAAAATTAAAATGGAAGATCTCTAATATAAATTTAAACATCCATCAAAAGTTGAAAAACAAGACTACGCAGAAATTAATGATGCATGCTTGCACATGGAGGTGAAAGATAATCAAACTCTTTGCCACCCCACCCCTCCTTTTGGACCTCTCATAATACTTTCTTTTTTTAACTTTGTCTTTAAGGGAATTTTTCATACCTTTGATAACTCTGCTGCAAAGTCGGTCCCAAGTAAATTCTTAGCTATATCAGGTGGAAGAACTCTACCAAACCATAGAACATAGCGAAACCCATCATCAAATATGTAAAGGCCTCTGGAATCTAAGCTCTCAGCAACTAGTGGTAACCTATTCTCTATGCTTTGAAAGTCATCAGCCTCAGCATATGCCTGCAAATACAAGAAGCAGAAACAAATTTAATGATGGATAAATGACATCACTCAACTTAAGTTAATGGAATCTTATTACCTTCAAAAGATATTCATCGAGCCGTATCAAACTAGGATATAGGAGCTTCAACAGTTTTTTAACGGGTAGAGTCATCATTGTGTGGCCTGCTGCACAACGTTCATCAAGTGACACGTCTGCATACCCTCCACGAAGAGGTGCTGATTTACAAAGTGCTAATCCATACAAAGGCAAGAACTTCAGAGACTCTGGGTATATCATCTTCCCTCCCAAGCGGTGTTGTACAGCATAGAGATTTCGAAATTCTTTGAGGGCTTTGACAATTCTTAGCTGCAAAGAGTTCCGAGCATCTTCCAACTTATGGGACAAAGTTTTTTCAATTGCTGCACATTATTTCTGAAGAACTTGAGAAAATCGAGATTCACAATATATACTACACCACTAGAATAGAGTTTCAGTTACCTACCTAGCCTGGAAAGCAAGGTGACAATGGCACCTGTATCAGCCTGTCGGTACATCTCTCCCAGATCTGTAACCACCGGTGCAGCAGCTGTATGTACTCTAATACGCCTTTCTCCACAGGATGCAGTGTATCTTTAAAATGTTAAAGACACTTCACAAATTGATAACCTTCACAACCATTGTGGAATTGCCCCCAAAGCAATTTAAACTAGACAGTCATATATCCAGATCGAGTATAATGAATGAAACAACTTCATTATGTAACCTCAAAAAAGTACTTCGGTTCAGAAGAAGAATATCAGAAGGGGCTGATTTTATAATGGAAATTTAAAGAGATACCAATAGTCATAACAAAAGTAGTGTTCACAACTGACATTGACAGCATGATATGTGAACAATCAAATGATAAACAGGCACCATACAGGCATGTCTATGTATAGTTAAAACTGAAGGATACAGCAAAGCAACTTGGAAATATACTGTCTGAATAGTTAGTAACGTCTCTTCAAGAGATAACTGCATCGCAAATGCTTTATCACAATCTACAGCTGGAAGTGCTAGTAAGTCGGTGGACCTTAGCATAAAGTTCCCATGATAAGATGTAAAGCGGACTCCTAAAAGTATAAACAAGTAACAAAACATTAGCATATTTTCCAACAGACATATAACATATGTATGTGAGCCCTAATGGGGTAGTTCTGGGGAATCATTAATAGCAGACCTTTTCCACATCTTATGCGCATGACTGCTTCCCAAGCAGTTTCCCTAGTAAGGTCTCTGGCTAACTCATGTCTCAACTTCTCTCCATGAATTGTGGATTGAAAATTTGGGTAATAATACACCTGACCCCCGGTATATTTTGCCAGAGTACCTACATTTGGAAGACCAATAGCAGTTATATAGTATACAACTTCTATGCACTCATGACTGAACTTTTTCTGCATAGCACAAGAAGATCATGGGAGAGCATACATTCAACACAATAAGCATCACACCCTGGTATGGGCCTAGCATTAGCTGCTGTATAAAGTTTCAAATATGGAAATTCAGATTCTTTCTTCAAAAATATTAACTATGATGAAAGCTAGGATCTTCTACTGATATTCCTCCGACTTCCAACGTCATCTTGATCTTTGGTTCTATGATAGTGAAAACAGAATAAGATAAAATCACCAATATGTACCTAATGAGGCTATATCAGTGTACTTGTCACTGAAGGCATATACATCTACCCCTATCTGGAACTTGGTAAATTCTGCAGCCATCTGCTTGTAGAAAGGATCCTCTGGTAGTCTCAGTGGATGCTCTTTATCAGTTCCATAGACACGAAGATCATCTCCACGCAACTTCAAGCGGCCAACACCAAGAGATGGCAGTGTATTCTGAAAAATTAACAATTTTCCCCCAAGTTGGCTCTGCAAAAACACACATGTGTGTAGAAGTTAATGCAGAGTAAATGAACAACCAAACTCTTAGAAATGCATAAAGAAGTAACTGAATAGCAAATTACTCGAGAAATACAAAAATTAACACACTACTCTATAATTGATTGAATATTTTAGCCAAAGGCAAAGTTCAAAATGTCACGTGTGAGAAAGCTAACAGACCATAAGCATAAGTGAGGCTTTCAGAGCTGGGCCAAAAGCAGACTCCATATTAACATTGTCTTGAAACATGGACGGCAAGCTATCAAGGAAAGTCTCCACAACATTTCTTGATTCAGATAAATTGACAAGAAGATCATCTGGCAATGGAACAAATACGTCATCCAGATCTGAGACCACCATCATTTGAGGCTGAGTCAGAGAAGACTGCATGCGAAACCCACAGGAACTCAGCACATACGTTGGGAGTTGGATGAAACAGGAAATAATACGCTATGACAACAGGCAGTAACAGAAAGCACATACCTTCATATTATAAAAATGTATTGTGCTGTCAAAAGTTGCAAACCCAATTTGTGTTCTGGGGTAGCCGGGAAGCTCATCCAAACATGACCGTATAGTTTGGGCCACAACCTGCAAAGAGGTAATCAATAAATTTCAACAATTCCAACAGAGAGGTAGACAGGCCTTGAGTAGTAATTAATCAAAGAGATAATAAAATACCATAAATGGAAAGACACAGAACCGGCCATTGGGATTCATACTGTGAAAGTCCTTACATGAATACTTATAAACAAGAAAATTTCAGTAACTCAATCACTCAAGACTTGAGTACTAGTTGCATGCAAACCCTATTCTATCTGTGTCATGTAAGAAAAC